ATTGCTAATGTGAATCATGAGGTAGAAAAACACGAATATTATTTTTATGAAAAACTTACGCAAATTTTATTTGAAAACAGCAAAGAGAACAGAGTTGGCGGAGAAGATGATAGGGGAAAACGTAATTGTTGAAATAGGTTCTGAAAATTGTGAGACAACCACCAAATCTTATTTATTTCTACATTTTTAAATCTTCTTTCAATGTACATTAACTCAGTAAGTTTTAAATCTTCTTTCAAAATACATTGACAGAGTAAGACCACTTGTATGTGTGCGGATCTATATTTTCTAAAGTCATTTTTTTTTTAATTTACTCCAGAAGTACACATACTAGTGTTTTCTCATGGTAATGTCGTAGAGTGCAATTCATTTATACAAAAATTCTAAAGATTGAAAAAGATTAAATCTCCTAACTCAAGTAACAAATACTTCTTTAAGACAATGTTAGATATATTAATAAGTTCCTAAGGTCGAATATTATAATGTCATGTATTTTTAGTGTTATGTTTTCTAGAATGAGATAAAATGATAATATATTTTAATATTAGTGTAAAAAGACAGATTATAATTCAACACGCATATTTATTAACTTATTATTATAAAATTAAAAATATTAAACTAAACAATAATAATACTCAATTATTAAAAAATAAACAGACAGTCAATAAAAAATATTTTTTTAACTTTCAAAAGACCAATTAAACTTTTTTTAATTTATTATAAACTTAATTAAAGCTTTCAATTAATTTAAAATACTACCAATTAGATATTTAATCCAGCTCCTTGTCTAAAGGAGATAAGTTGTTAATGTATTTAATAGGAAGTTGAATTGTGGCTCTCTATTTTGATATTTTCGAAATACTAAATCTCAAATTAGCCGCCAAAATAATATAATCAAATAACTTTTAATTCTTGTTTTTAAAACCGTTAATTAATCTTCACTTTCCAGACAACCATCCATTTTAGTCACCTGTCGTACTATTCACAATAATTTTGCAGAAATATAAAAAGACGTTTAACATGCTCAATAGCTAAACTAATATGAAGCAAGACATCATACATGGTGTCAATTTAAACATTTCAAGGACAACCACGATAGAGAAAAACACCGCCAAAAAATCAGCAGAAAGAAAATTAAACTCACCAGTATTTGCAATGAGAAATAAATTACAAAATAATAACCTAATAAAACAAAAACAATGAAGTGTAATAAAATAGGTAAATATTAGGTTAAAAATATAATATAAATATGAAAAGAAATAAGGGATCAAACTATTAATTTCAAAATTATTTTTCCTCCTCTCTCCAACAAAAGTACTCAATAAAATCTTCATCATCCTCAATTTTACACCTCGAACTGAAAATCCAGAGGAAAAGATTGAGTGAATCAGACACCGTAAGAACAGTGTTCAGCGCTTGCGAGGTCAGTTAATACTTGATATAATGACAGTATACACTCATCAAATGAAGAACGTGTCATATTTGAGACGAATAAAGTAAATTAAAACTCCTCACTACAAGGAAATTTTCATCCTCTATAATAAATAAATAAAGGAATATGTTACCTTTAATTGAATTTCATCAAATTACCATATACGACCCACCAAAAGCAGAGCCAGGGGAGCACAAATATCACCTACCTACCTCTACCTCTGCCTTGCAGAGCTCCACAATCTTCACCATATCTCACGGCTTCCTTGTGACCCCCTTTTCCAGAATGCAATCACTGCCGCCTAGATTCATTCCCGTGTATTGTTAAATTAAAAAACAAAAACGCATTCCGGTTAGGGAAATGTAAACCCTATTACAGAAAAAAGGGCAAGAACATGGAAGCTAGGCCCCAGAAAGCAAGCACACACTATCATCATTTTATTTCAGGGATCAACTTTGAAATTGAACATGTTTACCTGCTGACCACGAATATCCCTGGGAATTGATTATTGATTATTTTTCTACATATCCAACACCTACAAATTCTTGGCGCATGAATGCAACCAATGTTTTTTGAATCATTTCCTGGTGTAAAATTAGTAGAAGAAAATAGAAGAACATG